TTGATGAACTTTCCGGAAGACTAACCTGTTTTTCAGATTAGCGGCAGGAATGGAGGCGGAAGAGGGGTCGGAACGCCGGACAGCTCCTCCCTCCTTCCCTTCCCCATTAAGCTGCGTTGAAGATGAATGGGGAATGTTTCTTGGAGCATCCCGTTTTCTTTGGTCTTGTGTTGTCTCCGTTTCCTGTTTTCCTTCGCTGAATTCTCGTTTTTTATGAACTGCCATTTTGGGGTTGGTTATTGGAGCGACGACGAAGAGGGGAGGAGCAGAAGAGGAAAGAGTGGAATTGGAAGGAACAGAAGAAACGGAGGAAGAAGGCACAGAACTAGTAACCTGTTCAGACATGACACTTAAAGACGAAGAAACCAAAAGCGAGGCATCGGAATGGGAAGAGACAAGCGCAGAATGACGATGGGAATAAGCGGCGATGGAGAGAAGAAGAAGCATACAGAAAACAAATGATATACTTGCCTTCTTTACTACCCTTGCGTATACTCGCGGTACGGCCATCTTGTGGGAACCGTAGATGACCGCAAGGAATCCACAAAAATGCCTCTAGATGAGGGAATAAAAGAGAAGGAATAATGACGAGGCAAAGAAAATAAAAATAAAATAAGATAAAAAAGAAACAAAAAAAAATGATAAAGAGTGTACGAAATGATGAGAAAAACAAGTAAAGAATATCAAAATAGGAGAACGAGCGCAAAACCTCGGGAAGAATATGAACGAAAGACACACGAGAATGAAATAGATGAAACAGAGTGAAAACAAAGTGAAGAAATTAGGTAGTCAAACCCCAGAGTAAATCAAGGAAAAAAAAAGAAGCCAAAACAAAGAGCAAAGGGACCTTAAGAGCGTCATCTGTGAGGTGTACGTAACCCCATCCTCGGAGACCCTTCTTGCTCGGAATCACACCTATGGAAAGAGAAAAGGAATTTGTGTCAATGTGTTGTTTTGATAATGGCGATGGTAATAAAGATGTTTTGGATTTATAGAGGAGGAATGTGATAAGGAAGTTGAAATATTTGATAATAACTAAAATGAGAGAGGGGATAATTAGTGATGACAAGAGTGATAATAGCAGTGATGATAAAATCAACTGCAAAAAATAACATTGGCGGTAATGTCCATTGATAATAATGACATTGATGATTTCCAGTGTAGAAAAATAGTTAAAATTGATTGGACACAAAAGTAATACAAACAAACAAACATAAAATATACCAAACGAAATGCACTAACGAAGGATTAATAATTAAAACAGCAAACTCCTCCTCCTAATCACCGTATGTACCGCATACTTTGCAGGCTAAACATACAAAGGAGAGCATTACACTGAATCGCAAGACCCAGCTGCAAGTCTTTGGTAAAACGGAACGAAACCAAAACAGGACAAGTTAACAACGACCTCTAAATGAAAATAATGTTAATTGTATGTCTTAATAACCTTTGAAAATTCCAGGTAAAAAAAAAATCGCCTTAAACCCCATTTATCCTAATATATGTTTGATACTGTTTTCCCCCCTTGCGTTTGTTTAATGATAATGATTATGAATGTAAAGGCCAGAGACAAAAAATACAAATAAAAAGTTCAAACCAGGACCTTCGTATCTGAAGTGTTAAATGAACGCAATAAAAGATGCAAAAGATTACCAAGGTAAGAACACAAAGATAATCAGTAACCTATAACGTAATGCGTGTTGAAACACCCTAAAGGCATATAGAAACAAACGCAGAACGGTAAATTTAACCAGAAAAGCAAATGTTAAGAGGTCAAACTAACATCAAAGGAGGTCGAGCGGTTGGGCGTCTCCAGAGCCATCTGTTGGAGGAGCTAGATAGTTCTTCCGCATGTTGGGGGGTCAATAAAGCGGCCAAAAGTAAATTGTATACGTTTCCCCTATTTTTATTTCTTTCTCTTATATCTTTTATTCTCGCTATCCGTCTCTATCTCTCTTTTCCGACCATCTACCCTCTCTCTATCTCTCTATCTGTGAATCTATCAATCTGGCTATCTGTTTCCCTTCCTTAAGTCAGTGATCTCTCGTGTGGAACGTTTAGCCTACATTTCGTGTGCTGTGTGGTTCCTCCCATTATATTCACTTTTTCCATATGTCCTTTTCGTCTTTTTTTCTCTTCCCCCTTAATTTGCGCTTTCACTTCCTGTTTTGTTTTTGCTTGAACTAATTCACGTCTTCCTTTAATTCCTTGTTTCCTCCCTCTAGGTCATGTAACGTGCGAAGATTTTACGCTTTAGCACGTAACTTTGCAGATGATTAGCTTTGGTTTGTTGGTTAGCTATTGACTCAAAATAAGTTATTGTTAATGCGAAAATGAGCGTAATGAAAAATTGCAGCCTAAATTAATATATATATATACATATAAAAATATGTGTATGCATATATGCATACACATACATATATACACTTACAGTATTTTTATGCATATATATGCTGTATATATATGTATAGATGTTTATAGATGTTTAGCGTAGATTTGT